ACACACACACACCCATCGTCACAGGGGGTGACCACAGTGTTCTGCCTTAATTTGTGGCGTTTTTCTAAGAACTGGCTGCCATGTACTGTGCGAAATCAATCGATGTTGGAAGAATAAATTTTGGATAACCCTCTTCTAAGAATTCCAATTGAGTGTGTTAGTGTGGCCAGCTCAGGGCAATATGATATTATAAACACAGTACATATCACGTCTCTGCTGTTTATAAATACATAGGAAAGAATATACGCCTTTCATAACAGTGGAACGGAGGAACTTCTCCCAAGAGCAACAGGAAATTTGCTGCAAGACAGGCATATGTAACGATGACTAAGCGCAGCAAAACTCGTGGCTTATAATACTCTGAACTACTGACAACAGGCCAGCGAAAAATCTAACAATCTACGGCAAAACCATCAATTATTATGGGCGTTATAACATAGGTGTGCAGCTGGACGAAACATTGACGTCAAACCCCCGCAGACGATTTAAATACCTTGACGAAACATACACATCAAACCACGCTGAACGGTTAATATCTCTGATGATTCAATGAATGAAAATGCCTTATAACAGATGCTACACTTTTGCCATACTAGTTTACTGAGCACATCATTTTCTGTTCAGCTCATTAATTTTTGTAAATCTTTTTGTAGTAGCATACTGTATTTGTGCTTTGATGCTAAATTCTGAGCCAGAATATTACAGTACTTTATACATAGATTTGGGGGCATGCAGTAGTGTAGTTGGTTAAGGCACTATGCTACAAGCCAGAAGGTCACAGGTTTGAGTCCCAATGAAGTGGGTTTTTTCAATTTACCTAATCGTTCCAGCCGCACTATGGCCATGGGGTCGAATCAGCCTCTAACATAAATGAATATCAGGAATCTTCCTGGGGTTAAAGAGTGCCGGCGCGTAATGCTGACAAACTTACTGCCATCTGTGAGCCGAATGTATAGAGAAAATGTGGGAGCCTTGACGTCTCATAACCCTATGGGCCTTCATGGCCTGTTACAGGGATAACTTTACCTTTTTTTTTTTACACAGATATAAAGAACAGGAAAGTTATCCCAAGTGAAGGGTTTTTACATTACCTGACATAGATATTCTCATATCCAGAGTCATGGCTTCACTGTGAGGCTGGGTGGCAGGTGTGGGTACACCATGATTTCATTTGTGCACAGATCTGCACATGTGCACAAAACACATCATGTTACCCAAACCAGTGTTCAACATGGGATTACTATACCTATCACTTGGGCATCTTGCCAAATATGTGTTACATTTCATAGCATTCTGAGTATAAAGACTTATCAGTTGCCTTAAATGTAGAGCTGTCCACTCTTATTCATTTCAAAACTAGAAAATTTCTGACTCTTTTCTTGTGAGTAGTAACCTGACCATAAAGTCAATCATTCTCTGTTCCATTTATAAATAGTACACTGGTCTGAGATCATACAGAACTTAAACTATGTATGCCATATGCCTTTGTAGAATGATACTTGGCAAAAGGTTAAATTTAATTATATAACTGAAGCATTTCTTCTATATTTTTACATAATTAGAAACTTCAATGTGAAAATCAACTATGCTATGCAAAATAATATGAGATTACCTGTACAAAAGTGACATTGTGTGGAAACTTCTTTGATGCAGAAGGGCTCTGTCCATGACTAAAGCTTGGTATGTCAACAGGTCCATATAGAATTGGTAATGAGATGGGAAAGAACTTGGAATCACTTGACCGTTCTTGTTCACCTCCATCACTACCACCAATACCACCTCCACCTCCTCCTCCTCCTCCAGGTTCATCATTTGGTGGAGAGTCCGCATAGTTCACATAATGTCTCACATTCTTTCGAGCTATGGCAATAAGTTTTCTATCTATGTCCAAGCCAACAACACTTCTTGCTTTAAAGTCACGTGCCACTATCAAAGTGACATGACCAATATTGCACCCAATATCAAGTACATCCTTATCTTGGAACAATTCCTTTCTCTTTTCTAAGTATTTCAGACGAATATCAACTTCATGCTGAGGATTTCGGTAACCATAATACCTAAAAAAAAAAATTATATATAAAAACTTCTTCAAATGAGAGAAATTTTTAATATTCAACCAATGATTGTTAGGTCACTTAAACATTCTATTTAAATTGCAAACATTCTATGTCTTCAAATGAGATGAAAAGATGATCATAAATGTTGAATTGGTAAGAATTTTAAAGGAAATAGCCATAGTCCAAGTACTATTCCAGCATTTTACCTAAATAAAACAAGAAAAACATGGGGGAAACATAATAAAAATATAGAATATAGTAATTTGGCCACAATTCTCAAAAAAATAACTTTCTGAGAACCTAACATTTCAGGATTACTTCACACAGTACAAACTGGGTTACTAGGCTGTACAGTGTATGTGACGCTAGGTTTGCTTCTGCTAGAATATACAATAACACTATAATAATAATAATAACAATAACAATATAACACTCAAAATCACTGGGTTTCTGGACTTTGTCCATTGTCCAGCATTCTAAAAACTAGAGAACACTACATTCCAGAAACTGGATCTGTTTCCCTCCTCAGGTGAGCGGGGAGATACTTACTCTGTTGGGTCCCCCCCTTTCATCTGACGACGGAAACAGATCCAGTTTCCGAAACACCGTGTTTTCTGGTTTTCTACAATATTGGACAATGGACAAAGTCTGAAAACCCAGTAAACTGAAGTTCCTCTTCTTTTAGTTATGCATGTGTGTGTGTGAGACACTCACATACAACACATCAGATTTGGAGATTCCATTTTCATTGTAACTTGACTGTACTTGGATAATTTCGTTACCCACGTGACATAACTGAAAGAATAGGATACAGTTTTGTTTTCCTTTGATCATAACTGTCCTTCCATCACAGAAAAGTAACCAACGAAAATTATGATTCTAATATTAGTTTAAAAGATCTCCTAACTGAGAGAGCAAGCAGCTCCGAGTAGGAGAGAGTAGGAAATGGAATCTTCTGCACACTGTGTACAATAAATGTTATTTCAAATTGTGTGCCTAGTGGGGTATGTCAAGAAATACTGGAAAAGCTTATATATTTTATAGTAAACCACATAATATGAGACTTCAGGTTCGCACGGTAGTGATCATGACAAGAACTATCTTCGGGAATGTGTACTCTAGCACACTAAAGTACATTCTGGGGGAATGTACTGATTCCATCTTCAAGGCTGAAGAGTAAGCCAAGCAAGTAATGTAAGCTGAGGGTTCCCATAACACTTCTCCCACATTTGGTTTAAACTACTTGCTTGGTTCACTCTTCAGTCCTGAAGATGGAAGATTCCTCTAAAATGTCAGTAAATCCCGCTATTTATTCAAGGGTTCCTGGAGCATTCAAAGTCACATTCTATAAGGTGACTCAATCATTTTGCTGGCTACATTGAAAGAACATTGAATTTCAGTGATGATAAAGTTGTCACTGCTAAGTATCATTGAATATAATATTAATACCAAAATAAAAACTGACAGCAGCTTGAGAAAATATGCAAATATTGTTAAGGTCACATAGTGTAGTATTTGTAAGGGTAAGGTACGGATCACACAGGAATTTTATAATGATCCAGGATTCAATATGTTAATGGAAGCGCTTTAGATCACGTTAACATGAGTGTGAGGACGATCTAGCATTCATGTGAGCATCAAAAACAAACTCTGTGACCTGTAGTCTGCAAGCGAACTATACCGACCGAGCAACCGCCACTTGTCAGCGAAGTTAGTGCCAACATTTTGCGGACAGAGGGTGTCGTGTGGACAGCACAACAGATCCCCACAGCTGTTAATCTCGGTTTTGTAGACTGGAGCCACTATTTCCTTGAAGTAGCTCCTCAATTATCCATGTGTGCATCAAGTTCAGAATAAAGAAGGATATTATATTCTTAATTACAAGCTAATGGTTTGCAAGAGTCAACGATTGAGTAAGATACAACATACAATTTCATCAGCCTTAAGAGTAGATAACCGGCTCACTTCACTAACTTCACTAACTCCAACCAGTTGCGTCCTTATTAGGAAGCCATTTATTACTAATGTATTTAAGAATCTTAACCTTTCTTTCCATTTTCCATCTCACTAACCTTAAATTTTACATTTTCCTCTTTCTAGTCCTCAAAGGTCAGCTAGCTCACATTTCAGACTAACATATCTCAATTTACAAAGCTTCTAATTATGCAATTTTCTCAGCCTTACCATCATTTACTTCTTTTCTCTTAGTGCCAAATCTTTTCCTCATCCCTTAGGGTGAGAGATAAAGTTTCATACTAACACAAAACGGCAGTTTTGTACATTTCAGTCTTCACATTTTCATATATGAACTACAAAATCTATATTACATGTAACAAGCACTGTAATCTATTTTCATTCACAGAATATTAAACAATGACTATAAATAATCTAGGGGCATGCCGTAGCATGGTTGGTTGAGGAACTATGCTACAAGCCGGAAGGTCACGGGTTCAATTACCGTTAAGGTCATTGGACTCTTCAATTGACCTAATCCTTCAAGACACACTATGGCACTGGGGTTGACTCAGCCTCTAAGAGAAATGAGTAAAAGGAATCTTCTTGGGGGTAAAGCTTGGCTGGCGTATAAGGCTGAAAACCTCACAGCCATCTATAAGCGAACTGTCTAGAAAATGTGAGAGCCTGACATCTTACAACCCTATGGGCCTCCATGGCCTGTTGCAGGGTTGACTTTCGCATTACCTACAAGTAATTTGAATTCCAAAATCTGAGCCACCAATGTTAGGATTCTCACTACGCTGTACGTGTCTGTCAAACTATATGCAAGGGACTGTAACACGAATATAATGTATATTGCAGCTACATTAATGATAATCACTTACTTCAAATAGTTTCCATACTGGAAATATTCATTCTTCTTTTTGAAATTTGGCATTTTTTGTAACATCTGTTCTCTTTTGTGCTGCCAGTTAGCACCTGGGCGAAACCTGCTGAACCTTCCATCAGATGCTGGACCATATTGCGGTGGCCTCTTCCAAGCTCCAGGCTGTGGAATTACAGGACTTACAATCTTATCCTTGATATCAGGCTTCCGTTTTTTTTCAAGTTTACTATCTTTACCAGCAGCAGAATCTTCGGTCCCCTTACGACTTTTTCTGTCTTTCTCTTTTGCTGGCAGTTCAAGATGTAGTTCCCTTCTTGCAGGGTTTTCTTGTGTTGATATAGGTGCAGCAAAAACAACATTCTCATTCAGTGAACTAGCTTTCTCTTCCTCAAAAATTTTTACTCCTTCACTATTCATAACAGGTGCTGATCCATCCAAACCATCTTCCTTAGATGAACCGCCTGAAGATGAATTGCGTTTTTTTTTTCGGTTTCGTGACTTTCGACCACGTTTAGTAGGAGATACAAGCGTTTGCTCATATTCTGCGTCATCTTCACAAGAAATGAGATTTAAAGGATCATGAAGATTTGGAGGTATAATCACCTCAATTGTTCCTTTACGATGTCGTGGAGTTGGAAGAGGAGATGACTTTGGTGTAACAGCATTCATTGCCCTGAAGGAAGAAATTCATAAACAATAAACATAAAAGTTACATTCATCAATAACCCAAATTATTTAATGTATTTTATTTCACATAACTTTATAAACTAATGAAACTTAAAAATATTAAACATAGACCCACCTGTTAATTTCTTCATCTTGCAAGCTGTTCAAATTTAATGGATCATTAATGTTTCCTCCAAGGAGGAATTTTGTTGGCGGTATGATTGTTCCCTCCTTCTTCCTTCGTTTATAAGGAGGACAAAATTTTCCACCTCCCATAGGGAAACTCTGGACTCGCTTGCGCTTGAAATTTCGTCCATCGGTTTCATGCTTGTGCTTCTTAGGGAAATATCCACTTGCACCAGATCCAGATTTTCTGTGCAATCGTTCAATTTCTTTTAAACGTATTTTATTCTTCGAAGCACTTCGTTCTTCTGAACCATCGACTTTTACAGGTCTTTGTACTTGTGCTGACGACATTTCTGAAAGCAAAGCATCCATAAATAAATTACAGTACCGAATTTAAAAGATATTCAGTACAGATACTGGGGACAGGGTCTTTCATACACTTCTTACGCCTGACACGAAACACCTGTTCAAATATTCCAAAGTATTTCACCGTCATAACATAAACACTGCATAAGAAATTATACACTGGGCAATGTTCACAGTTTTCTATCATCTGACTTACATTTCACTATAAAACAAAAACCATTTTTTAATTAAATTAACATATTTGTTGCATCTTATGTGTCCACGTGAGTTTGTATACATGCACTCGTTTTTTGCTATGCGCATGCGTAGTGAAACGTCTTCCTGCATCTTCAATAAACCTAAAAAATTTCGATTTCTAACAGCTAAATAAATGCATTTAATACCGTTCCTGAAGCCAGAACTTACCTTTAACGTAAAATTAATATTGACTTATGAATCTTGTTATAAGTTATTTCCTTTCGAAAGAAGAAATCCTTACACAAACAACTAAATTCGCACACCACTTAGCACTGGACTCACCAAGCATCCACCACCATCAACGATGGCGATACGTTCCTTCCCATCCCTACGCCCCTCCATTGCGCACTATTCCGGTTGGGTTCCCTATAAAACCTGAACGTGTTGTATTGAACTTCGAAACGTTATTCACTTGTTCCAATTACAGTGACATAAAATGTTTTTATGACTATCATTATTTGCTTAAAAATATCTAGTATAAATAATATGTTTAAATCTCATATTACAGTTATACGACATTTATGATATGTTATATTTCTATGTTTACTTAAACTCCCGCCATTGTTTTCCGTTTCGAATCGTCACACGGAACCACGGATTGCCATATTCGCAACCACGAGATACGAGAACGAAACGAATATTTGTCATTGTTAAAGCAGAGGATTTACAGGTTTATGGTATACACTGAAGAGGAAATGTATATATAAATTCTTACTACATATAATTTTTGGGTTACATAGTTTTTGCTGTGGTTCTGTCTTCCCTAAATTATAGTCGGTATGTTCTGAAAACTCAATTGTTATACTCGTATGAGACTTAACAGATGGACCGGCAACAAAGAATTTTGTTCATAATTGTAAATTTGGAACTTTGGTTTTATCATATGTTTTGTGTACTCAAGTTCCTTACGTCTGTTACAATTTAAATAGTAAAATAATCTTTTTCAGAATATGTCTCTTCAGAAAATTAATAAGAAGCCTTTCAAGTCACCATTCAATAATCCAGCAAAGAATAGTGCAAGCCACCCACAAAAGCAGATTCCCCTGTGGAAGCATGAAGACGCGACACAGAATCAGGTTGTGGTAAAATTACTTATTTATAATCTTAATTATTCCAACGTGATTACATACAACTTAAAAAAGTTTTAATGTCAATTGACGATCTGTGGGCCGTTAAAAATGAGCTCTAAAGGAGACATCGAAAAAAAGCAAAAACATACAGGAATGAAATTTATACTAAATAAAAATCCCTTTTGTCCATTCATCTCTTAAAACACTGTTCAAAGTGAAAATTCTAAATAAAATATTCTAGGATGATTTCAGTTATTGTACTAGGTCTCTTGAATTCATAATCAACCACAGTTTACCAGAACTCATATTTTACATGAAGCTCAAATCGAATTGTGTGAGACTTCTTAAAATGAGTTCGTCCTAGTTAAAAGTGGTTCATAATACAGACAGGTCTATATATCATTAAAATATACTGTATATGGGAGCCGGTATAGAGCAGTCGGTATAGAGACTGGCTATGGGCTGGACGATCAGGGGTAGGAGTTCGAGTCGCGGTAGGGCCAAGAATTTTCTCTTCTCCACGTCGTCCAGACCGGCGCTGGGGCCCACCCATCCTCCTGTCAAATAGGTAACGGGGGTTCTTCCCCCGGGAGTAAGACGGCCGGGGCGTGACTTTCACCACTCACATCCAACTAGTGCCGAGATCAAGAATACGTGGATCTAGACATCCACTCCCCCATACGTCTTCATGGTGTAGTACTTAATTAGTGAAACACAGGGACAATTTATATACTGTATATGTCCTCTAAATTTTACTTCAAATATTATACAGTGATACTGATAATTAATAATTTGGCCGAGCCGGAAAGTCGACCAGTCACCTCTGTCGAGCACAGGATAATACGTGGAGCTTTCCCCATGTTCTCCTATACATCTTCATGGTGTGGTGTTTAATTAGTCTAGGGACAATATTAATTTCACCTTACCAATAATTTTTAGTTTATAATATTTAGGTTCATTGTATTTTAAGAGAAGAAAGGGTGAGAAATTTCCAGGAATTTTTGTTACAAGTTTATTTTTGTGTTCCAGTGGCCAGAGTTCTTGGCTACAGATCCCGAGGTCCCGGGTTCGATTCCCGGCGCTACCAGATTTTATGAGAATTAGTGGATCTGGAACGGGGTCCACTCAGCCTCGTGATGATAATTGAGGAGCTATTTCAAGGAAATAGCGGCTCCGGTCTAGAAAACCGAAATTAACGGCCGTGGGGATCCGTTGCGCTGACCACGCGACACCCTCTATCCGAAGTTAGCACTAATTTCGCCGACAAGTGGCGGTCGCTCGGTCGGTATAGCTCGCTTGCTGACTCAAGCCACGGAGTTTGTTTTTTGTTTATTCCGATACTTGAAAGCCAAAGAATGACAATTCTCGCGCCATTGTGTTACTTGCATGTATTGCCTCTCTGTTATATATAGCATGCAGAAGTGCGTTTCATCAATTAACGTTGTAGATGTCTCGATTATTGATGAAATGTCCTCTGCAAAAATGTTAAGTTCTTTATATCTAGGTTACAGCGCGGTGTATTATCACTGTAATAAATACATGCAGACGATGGATAACAGATGAACCACACAGAGCCCTGCCCCCTTTTGATACTGACTAGTGCATATGTCCTATTTCTATTACCAAAATAAGTCTAGCATACTGGTCAAGTCGGGACGCATGGATAGACAAATGTAATTTAGAGGCGGAAGTATGAACTCCATTGAGCAGTCTCCTTAAGAAGCTGATAGTGACCAGTTAGCCAAATTCCTGTCCCATTGTTGTCGTTCCGAAGAATCCACCCGAGACTGTATGCAGCATTTCGTAACATGATAGTTCCTTGGCGATGAGTTGTTAGCCCGCCGCACAACCTCCAAGTTATAGTGCCACCGCTTTATGGCTGTCAGCGATTGATTAATCAGTTTATTCACAACTAACTCCATATAGACCGCCTCTGTGGTTTAGGGGTCAGAGTTCCTGGCTACAAACCAAGAGGTCCCGGGTTCGATTTCAGGCGCTACAAGATTTTCTGAGAAGTAGTGGGCCTGGAACGGTGTACACTCAGCCTCGTGAGGATAACTGAGGAGCTACTTGAATGGAAAAGTGGAGGCTCAGGTCTATAAAACCGAAATTAACGGTCGTGGGGATTCGTTGCGCTGACCACGCGACGCCCTTTGTTGGCACTAACTTCGGTAGTGTTCACTTGCGGACTATAGGTCACGGAGGACGCGCCGTGCTTTGGTGATAAGGAACCAATTTCCCATGGATGGAAGTATGAAAGGAAAACTTTAATTCTCTCAATTATGTTCAAAATTCGAGCAACGTGCTCTGATGGCAATTTTGTTAACTTGTCTGCAGAAAAATACTGAATACTGTGCAAATTTACACGATTATCTGTAAATATGTCATCGCTAGAATTCTTAAGAAGATGCCTGTATCGGACGTTTTGAGGTAATATTTAAACTGTCGTACTGGGTACTGTTCTATTGATTTAAACCCGTTCACGCATACGTGGAATTTTTCAAAAGACGATTTCTGTGCGCATTAAACGAAACCAGGATTAACAGTATAAGAGAAATCACAAAAGACACGTTTTGAAAATACCCCACATGCATCACCTTTCCGCTTTATTTCTTGGGGAGGGAATACTAGAATAATGCAGCTATAATCTTTACGCCCTAAGATTAGGCAGTCTTCGATGATCAAGTGATGTTTCATAAACAAATTGCTTTGGTACTCTGAATGTCCCGTATATACTGCAGACAAAAGTAACATGTTTTGCTGCATTTGGAGCAGTGGCTCACACGCAAGTGGTAGTGTATTGTTTTTTAAATGTGTGTACACTACACAGATGCGGATAACAGTACTGGTTCAGGTGTTGGTTGATACGTGACTCAACTGCATGTTATAATGAATAGTCATTCTTGAATTAGTTTCTTCTCTTTAAATAGACAAGTTAAAATTAACGGTATAAATTTAGTGACTTACACAGCTTGCCTCACAGGCTACTAACACTGATATTGCAGAAAGATTATTCTTTCGGAACATTTTTATCACGAAAAATATTTTTTGACATACTTGAATATCAATGTATACCTTATCATAAATATATGCGTGTAATGCAACTCATGCTCGTTCAATAATATCCTTACGTTACTATCTTTAGAATCTTTTCTTTTCACGTCCCTTATCTTGTACACTATAATTCCACCAATTGTTCTTTATGGACAGGAAATTTAATCTGTCACATTATGGAAAGAACATGGATTTAGGGTATTTAAGACATTGTGTTGAGGAAAATGTTTGGAACTAAGAGAGAGTATTTGTTTTATTGCTAGTGGGGTGGGACTAAGCCCCTTGTACGACCGCGCCATAGCTCAAGCGGTTAGTCGCTGGCTTTCAATAGCGGCGGCCCGGGTTAGATCCCGGGTCTGGTCAAGTGGGATTTGTGGTGGACAAAGTAGCGCTGGGGCAGGTTTTCTCCGAGTACTTCGGTTGCCCCTTCCAATCTTCATTCCACCAATTGCTCCACAATCACCCTCACCTATCACCTGGGACTGGTACAAAAGGCCAGAAGTGGCCGCAGTACAAGGGACTTAGTCCCATCCCACTAGCAATAAAAAATAGTCCATTGTACTGCACAATGTGTTTTGTACGAAAGGATTCTGGAGGGTCTGAACCCCGGACGCGCCAAGAATATTTATCCAGCATTACTTCCCTTGATCTGTAGAGATGAGACCTTGTCATTTGCTGTTCATCCATGCAAGGAAATTTAGAAAAAAAGATTAAATGAACAAAAAACATCCACATTGTTAAGAAAAACATTTTAAGAGGATAGTCTATAGAAGTGCATGTGTCAATGACGAAAGGTCATGTAACTGAATTTGTAGGCCGTACCCTAATTCAGGTGGTTAGTCGCCGGCTTCTCACCTCGGAAGTCAGGGTTCAGACCCAAGGGAGTCCACGTACAATTTACGGTAGACAAAGCTATACTGGCGGAAGTTTTCCGGAGCATTTAGGTTTTCCTCTTCACAGTTACAATTCCATCAGTGTTCCATATTTGTCTATCATCAGGGTCAGCTTCAAGTTACCCCAGTAACACGGCACTTAAACCCTCATCATTTCTACAAGTAACTAAACTTAACATCTGAAACGTTTCTTTGATGAGACATATATTTTTGAACATTCGTTTCTACCGTTAGCTCCGACAGAACAGCGTGATGTATCTTGATTCTCTGCATGGGAGCAGCCGGGAGAAGGGGGAAGTCAGGCATCTCACCTCCCTGGACTTAAAAAAAATGGGAATAAAAAAAAAGACCGAAAACTACCAAATGTTATAATTAGAATTCAAATTATTAAAAAATAACATATTTTCTATCCTAAATACAATATTTTGATCCGGAAAACTAGTCTTTAACGGCTTATACGTAACTTTGTGAGCATACTACTTATACGTAACTTTGTGAGCATACTAGCCCCCCCCCCTTAACACAAGGAAAATTCCTGGTAACGTCCGTGATCCTCAGGACATTGTTTTACGGAGAAATCGGATTCGTGTACAACGACCGGACGCAGAGATGCGGCAGTTTAATAGTGCACGTCCGTTCCGTTACTAAACACACAGCATATTATAGTACGAGATATCTTAAATCTGATTGGTCTCCAATAGGTTTGCTTACGATATTGCTGTTTCCTTCTTCAACACTGATCAGCACTGTACGAGCATGCGTATAATCCTACATATTCAGTATTTAACAAGCGGAAAGAGGGTGCCTGGCCGAGGACTGCAAGGGGGAAGGGGGTGGGGGGGAGAAGAGATATTACATAATTATGTATTATGAATTTGGACGACTGTGTTAGTGAACATTAATAAAATATTTAGGAGGACTGTCGTCTTATTTGTCTTGGGCGACAGAGAAAACCACGAAAATATTAGACATAACAGTCTGATGCCACCTAAATTCAAACTGATTTCTCAGTATTTCACAGGCACAAACCGGTTTCCTTATTCTGTGAGTTAACGTGTTCGATTTTATTTCATTTTAAAGTAATTGAATTTTAACTGGCTTAGCTTATATACAGATACTACTGACATAATTAGGTAACTCCATGGAGCTGGTTCCTTCCTGAGAAGCCACCAGTCGCCCAACTAATCAGGAGTACTTTGGTTTCCCCTGCCAATCTTCATTCCACCAATTGCTCCACAATCACCCTCACCTATCATCTGGGGCTGGTACAATAGGCCAGAAGTGGCCGCAGTACAAGGGACTTAGTCCCACCCCACTAGCAATAAAAAGAAAATAATATTATCCGTTTTTATGCAACGATTGTGTAATCGGAGGGGGAGCTGCTAAATTGCCAAGTGTCATATAACAAAAATTAAGAAAAAAAATGGGAAAAATTATGTAATGTCATGCCATGCTCTGTATGAAAACTGTCTACACAATATGTTACAATTCTAGTGGACCACTACTGAGTAAATAATTAAGAAAAGTAATCCTGATGACCATCAACTTTTCTCTTTGAAAGATACACAAGACATTTAATTCCATATGATCATGTACATAGCTTGGCTAGATTCACACGTTTGTATGTACACAATATGGGAATCTTAAATCAGAAAGTAAACATATTCCCCCCCCCCTGCTGGCTCTACAGCCCCCTTGGGCCCTAGCTTCTGATTTTCAGTTTCATGTTCATTTCACAGACAATAGGAATCATTGGACGAGTGATCAGTTTGTCACAAGGCCTCTATCTAAATAAAAGACAACACAAACATAGAATAAAAATATACACGTACCAAACAGTCATGCCTTGTGTGGGATTCTAACCCATGATCCCAGCTTTCAAGCAAGCAAAGACAGTATGTGCCTTAGACCGCTCGGCTACCATGACCGGCTTAATGTGTTTAGATGCTAGTAATAAACTTTGTGACCCGATAAAATTGATTTTGTGCAATACCTGTATTGCATATATTTGACATTAATTTATGAGCCTCAGATTTCATACAGTATTTAATTGTGTGAATTACATTATAACAGGTGAAGACTCTTCCTCAGGCTGAAGAAGTGAACCCAAACATCAAGGGGAACACAGCAAGTAATTCTAGGATACTTAAAAAGAATTTTAAAAAGGGAGAAAAGAAAGAGGTAACTTTGATTGATTGATTGATTGATTGATTCATTTGTTTTACACTCCATAGATCCACAGTACCACAGGTAGGATATGGACCACGTCAAGTGGTACATATATAAAAGACAAATAAGCCAAAAAATAGAATAAAATAAAATGATGACAGAAATATAAAAAGTTCTATTACTAATGGTTTTAAAACTTGGTGACAGTAAACATAATTTATTAAACTACGTATATATATATATATAAATTCTTTGGTATGTCATTGACTTGCAATAGCCTTAAATTGCAGATATTCATCAATGGAATAAAAATAATGTGTATAAAGAAAATGTTTTAGAGAGGCTTCAAATTTCCTTGGATTATGAGATATATCTTTAATATGTGGAGGAAGATTGTTAAATACCCTAATACCCATACAGTACACTCCCTTTTGGTAAACTGTAAAATTTACTGTAGGCAGATAAAAATTATTTGATTGTCTTGTACCTGTATTATGCTTTTCTGAATTTAAAATAAAGAGATCCTTGTTATTGACCACAAACAACATGAGTGAAAAAATATATTGTGATGCTCTAATTGGTAAATGTTACAACATTTTAACACTTCCAGGTTTGAAAGTTGGTCCTTATAAGCTTCCTTAAATGTCTCTTATTCCATTCAGTTTTGTCATGAAGCTGTTTCTTTTTCATAAATTAAGATGACTGACTAGTAAAAAGACATGTATATTTGGATTACAATCAGTATCCTTTTGAAGAGTACAAATATTAACATTTCCAAGTATTGTATTGTATTGTATTGTATTGTATGGTACTGCATTTATTACACGTTCCAGCACATCCATACAAGGCCGAAGCTATTGGATACAGAACTTGTCACACCACAAGCTTGCTAAATCAACAAGTATTCAACAGAACAATGCATATAAATCCACAGAGCATATGAAACCCCTACAAATCACTGCAACTACATAACCTACCATGTGTATATAAGATATAATACAAAATTGGAACATATATATGACAATAGGTCAAATAATGGGTCATAGCTAAACAAGAAACTATCCCTAATTAAAATGTTCATTTAAAGTGTAATAGGATTTAGTATGTAAAAAGGCACATAAAGCTGCTCTAAATTGTGTAATACTATTGACTAACTCTTTTATATTTAAAGTAAGATGATGAAAAAGTTTAATACCAAAATAATAAGGTCTTTTCTGGTAAGTTGTCAAATTTGTCTGAGGGCAATAAGATCAAAATTATGCCTAGTATTAAGGCCATGAATTTGTAATGTCATGTGATATAAACTCATGTTATTCACAACGAACTTCAATAAAGAAAATATATATTGGGACTGCACTGGCAAATTCCCAAACCCTAATTCATCTCTACAGGAGTCCCTAGATCTAAACTCACTCATTATTCTAATTATTCTCTTTTGAATTCTGAAAATGTGCATGCTATAAAAAGAATTGCCCCCAAAAATAATTCTCTATATTGGTCCCAGTGCATGTGTGTAATGTATTTGGTTATTTTGGTTCAGTTAATTCGACATTATTTTGTGTTCAGCTAATAATGCTAACATATTAACAATGTTCAGCCTGCAGTTTGTTACCCATGATGAATGCACCACATAAAGCAGAATAAAACTGAAGATATACTCGTATTTCATGAAATTACTCCATGTGAAAAATACCCACTTATATTTCTAATTAATGCAGTTAAACTGATATTAAAATAACATGTACCTGTATTCTTATTGTTGTTTATTCAAAATTTGTTGCAGAAACTTCCCATAACATCCCTTACTGATACAGAATATGATGACATTTTTTCATCAGTAATCAATAAAGTAATGGCAGGAGGTATTCCTTCACCAGTCATGGAACACAATGCAGGAAGCAGTGGTGATGAAGTTGAAATTGAGGTGAACTCATTGTGTACCATACACTAATCATAAATGATACCAACTTATATCAGAATAGTTTTTATGATAACAACATCCAGGAGAGTTTGCACCACAACTGTATTATACACTGATCATTTTTTGGCTTATATTTGATATACAATATATTTTGGGAGCTGGTCCTACCATCTTCAGGTATTTGGTAGACAGTTTACTAACAGTAATTTTTATTATTATGAGGACTGGAACTTAAATAGTGGCAACACTGCTGTAGAGACGCCATGCAACGGAACCAAATAATGTCGTTTGTACCACATGTTAGTTACACACTTACCTTACCTCAGAGCAAATGGACTCTCCCTTCCCACATCACGCGCATGTGCAGTGACGAGAAGAACAGAGCCTCGTGTTAGCTGGCAGTCTAATGTAGTGCTGTTACGAAGTTTTCGAAACAGGAACAACGGAGTTGGATAAAGATTGAATGTGCCAGAGGCCATACAGCACGACAGAGTCATCAAGGTCTTCAAGAGGTTTTCGGGGAATCTGCATTGCCTTACAGAACAGTGGAAAGGTGGGTAAGTCTTCAATGAGGAATGCCAAAATGTGGCAGACATGTGTTGGCCAGGTCGTCCTAGTGTCAGTGAAGAAGAAGTGTATGTTCTTTCCGCGTTACTGGAGAGTGATCGACGCCATACGATTCATGAGCTGGCCTGAGAGACAGGATTAGTGCATACAACTGTGCTCACATTCTGAAGGAACGCCTGGGCATTAGAAAAATTGCATCACAATGGGTTCCGCATGATTTGATGGAAATGCAGTAATGGCAAGCTGTGGCTGATTTGTTCAATCCATGGGGCTGGGAAGTGCTGTACCATCCACCATACTCCCCAGACTTAAACCCTTGTGACTTCGACTTGATTCCTAAGATGAAGGAACCACTTCGTGGCATTCGCTTCAGAACTGTTCCAGAGATTCTTCAGGCAGTAGACCACTCCATTCAAACTATCAACACAACAGGCGCTGCTAAAGGTATCCTACGACTTCCACATCGCTGGCAACGGGTTGTACACAATGCTGGTGACTACACTGAAGGACAGTAAAACTTCGAAACATGCATCTATTTTGTATCAGTTGTAAATAAATAGTTGCCACTATTAAAGTTCCAACCCTCGTATTTGCTATTACTTTCATGTTTAATATTAATGACAAATAGGGATCGGTCCTGGAACCCTTTGAATCCTAGATGTTTTGCTCTCTATCAGTACAGTGAAACCTGTCAATATTGATCACTCGTTTTCCTAGTCAAACACAGCCAACTGACAGAAAATAGTGTTAACATTCCAGTTTTTTTTTTGTCTGTAATTGTTACAACTACTGAACTGTGTTAATTTGGCCGCCATCTTAAGCTTTCTGAAGCACTTTATTTTGCTTCTGACTCTGTGACTAAAGGAGATATTACACGCTTAATATATATAAGGGGCAGATCAATGAAGACTATTTCAAAATAATCTGTTAACTTTCTGTGTGGCAAACACAGGAAAGTTAAATTATATATAGAACCAGTGCATAAAATGCAAGATCAGAAAAGTCTAAGATACACTGGTTGTGAAGAATGAGGGGTGTAGCCATGTGTAAACATGATTTTAACATTTTTGTGAAGATGCGTCCAGATATGTCTCATCGTGACTTACAAGGGTGGCCAAATTCACAGATGTTGCTATGCAATGGCATCAAATTACCTGCAGATGGAATGAGATGCATCTCAGAAAAGTCGTGGAGAAGGAAAACTAGATGATTGCAGCATAATTATGGAGTAGTGTATCGACCTTTGTCACCAACTGTAGGGAAACAATTTCGAGGGTTGTAGTTATACTAGTATGAAAATATACAATAATAGTTATGTAAACAAAACAGTCACAGTGTATACTGTGAAGATAAAACACAGTAGAACAGAAGGTCGTGAAATACCTACGGCCGAATGTTTTCTTTCTTTCTGCTTTCCGACCTTTGTAATTTAAATGTTATACAGAATAGAGCTGTCATCCCCAAACCAGATGAAGCCCAGTCACCTCATGAAGTAGCGGAAGGTCCAGTGGAATATATTACAACAAAAGTTCAGGCACAGCAACCTTTCTCAAGAAAAGGAAAAATGGCACCATTTATTAATGCCAATAAATGTGTGTCTGAAGCTGCAAGAACCAAAGATTTATTTTCATCCAAGAAAAGGAATTTTGAGGATATGCAGGAAATAGCTAAGAAGACAAAAGGTACTGTTGTAGCAGAACTTAATGTTATTTTAACTAACTTAAAAATCACATCTCAGCTTCGAGGACAATCACATGACCAATTTTAACAAAGACAAGTTCACACATGAATGTTATCAATCTTTTAAATCTGGAGAAAGAAGTAATAAATAGTTTTGTGATAGTATTAATAATACACTCCTTCCCTCACCATTATTCAAGAATCCCTGCCATAATAATGTGAACTCCAAATTTTACAAGTTACAAAAAAATCAGATTAATTTACATGCATCAGTGTACCAGTACACAGAGTGTATGGGAATTGGTCTACACCTCAGTCATAATTGATTCTAAATAAATTCTTTGTTTACAATATATTTAAGCATCCTGTTACACTCACACAATATATATGAGACAAACTCCATCTTAAGTGCAACAATTTAATTGTAGTTCTTTCTTCTTCCCTTCCTCCACACTACATGTTTCGGCCCTAAATGGCCATCATCAGGTGTGTATTCTTACGTAGCTGCTACACTGCCCATAGTTTAAAATTTAAAATCACCAGTCTTTCCTGTTGTATGTATGTATAAAATCTTTGTTAACCTACACGCGTCAATTTGATTTCTAAAATTGGCACTTTTTTAAAACTTCAATTCAAATTTGATTTTGATTCAGATTTTTACAGATTTTATCAAGTATTTGGTGGCAAAGAATGATAAAATTTGAATTTGTGGTTCTTGTCCATACAAGTTGTGGATGGACAGATAAACGTCCAAATCATATAATGGGTTCTATGGACAAAATTAATCTGAAACTGCTTACCATTTGCATTACTTTAACAGCATCACATCTCTACCATGTGATCACGGTTAGAATGCTGACATCTTGAAGTACCAATAAAATTAACCTTATAATAATTGTATTGTGTTGCATCATATTCTGTAGGACCAATGGAAATAGGTAATGCATAGTCACACATTGTATATTCTCACCAGTTAGTAAATATTGGTGACACTTTTCAACACATACAAGTCCTCCTCATGCCATCAAGTAATTGAAATATATTAGCAACAACTTTTTATATGATAGAAGAACATGCATTTAGAACACGTAATTCTGCATATTTTTAGATATGCCTATTCATGCTATGGTGGAACACTACATATGATTTTTAGTGTTATTGTCTTCAAAATTCAGAAAACCTAATTAGATTATATTTTACATGAATAATTTTGAATAGGCATCATGAAATTTTCTTGGTATTCAAAAATATGATCTTATAAAACATGGCTATATTACCTGTGGGAGTCGTTGTATGAAGAGACAACCACTAGTTGAACTGTCCTATAGGATTTATTGCAGCTGCACAGTATACACAGACGGATAACAACAATAGTGAACTGCTTGAAAACTGAACTAGAATTGTAGAACGGTAGAACTGTAACTGTAACTCAGTGTATCTTCTTATGTAGCCTAGAGTTGGACATATAGAAAACGGTTATGTAATAGGTACTGCAGTTACCAGACACCATGTCTACAAGTTCCCTAGCAACCGCTGTTTACTCGCTTTTGCCTAGCAACCGTTGTTTTCTCGTTGTTGCTAAGCAATGACGCTTGCGTTGTCACACTTGCTTGAATGTGGGCAGTTCCCACAGACCTAATTACTTCAATGAGCCATATTCTGCCTTCCTCATTCAGGTAGCTTTTGTTTTGTGTATATGTGAAAAATGATATTTTTGGACATTTATAACATTCAAACACACTTATTTTATGTAGTATTTGAGGTTCTCACAGCAGTGGTTATGAAGAGTTCTGCCTTCTGGGATATAGCGCTGTATAGTCTGTTGAAGTTCAACTGATGTTTTGGATTTAAGTGTTGCTTCCATCTTCAGGGTTAAAGAATAAGCCAAGCAAGAAGCCAGCATGAAACATGTAGCAGGGAGAGTTTATTCTTCGACTCTGAAGATGAAGGCAACATGGTCCTCTGAAACATCAGTTGACTTACAATGGACTACACAATGTTATAACCCAGAAGACTGAATTCTTGAAAGTTAATTTATGTATCTGCAGTACTTCACTTAATAATTGCTATTTCATATGCTAAAATCTGCATACAATAAAAGCATTTTATGTAAATCCTGAAGTTCTTCTATATTTTCACGTTCTTTGAATTCTTAAAATAAAAGTACTGTATTTGAAATTTGTAAAATTTTGCTGTTTATTCTTTGAATATTTTTGGAGTTATGTATCAATAAAAACAATATTTTGATTATCTGTAGGAAGATTAAGTTGATTTTCACAGTATTTAAGTTTTATATTTTATTTATTATTTCCCATTGAGTGAACTGAGGCCACAGCATAAGTCTGCCTCCTTTGGCCTCACAGTATAAAAGCAACATGATAACAACTTCCCTCATAATTTATAATAGAATCAAATACAGGTTGAAATCGTATGCCAATTCTTCATTCTTTTGTTGTGGTATTTAGTATGCATACTGAAATAATGTTTCTGCTGTTTACCATTAGTGGTCTCTCAAAATAAACCTCTGAGTTCAATAAGGCAGGCAATTTGCTGAGTAGATGGGTGACAATCAGATTCTAAAGAAGAGGTGTTTTCCATGGAGTTAGTTATTACAGCCCTTTACAGTTACATATTGAATTAAAAGTCATATAAGAGTCCACATATTATCATAGGGAGGTAACAGGTTCTTATAGCAATACCTGATTAAAATTATGTTTCCCTTTCTAGTTTAAATAATCTTACATATTTAATGATAGAATTTAATGAAATGTATGTGATGCAAGCATGCATATACTGTATGAAGCATTACTGTACTTTAAAAACAATGTGGTTTTTGGCATTCTTTGTAACACTAAGAGGTACAAGATATAGTCACCTATGTGCCAGCTGCTATTGCTAATTTGTAAAATACACTTTCAGGTCCCACATCTACCATGAAACCAAACCTACAATCCCTGCCAGTGCATCCCAAGAAACAGCAAACTCTTGAGGTGCAAGATCAGACAGATAGAAGCAATAAAGCAGAGATGAAACATGTATATGCATGTCAGAAATTTAAGACTACCTGTAAAGATAATAACAATGTTCCTGAGATGACGAAAGTGCAACAGAACCAGTCTACTAAGCCAAAAGACAATTCTTTGCAGAAGTCAGCTTTTAGTGAACACAAGGAGAAGATGGTGAATGATTCGTCTCAGTTAAGCCAGACCAATTCTTTACCGAATCAGAGTGGTAGCCACTCAAAGCCCAGCACCCAGTGTAGTCATCACTCTCAGGAGTGTGGTAATGTTTATAAAAAGAAACACGCCCACAACTGTAGTAAACGTACACAGGATAGCAATATTCATCAGGATACTATCACACAGAAGACTGGTTCCCAGAGTCAGTGCTCTCAGACCGCTCTGAGTCAGCCAGGACCAGAATTATCACTGAAGGAGAGGCTGTTATGGCTTCAGAAGCGGCGTGATGTGGGATTATGGGTTCAATGTTCCCGTCCAGATTGTAACAAGTGGCGTTATTTACACGACATTCGTGATCCTGTTGAAATTCCTCCAGAATGGTTTTGTCAGATGAATTCAGGTAATTTTGTGCAATATACATGATAATTTTAGCTGGAGGCCAGGTATCAAATTATGGAAATACGTGCACTGTCCATCAGCCTCCTGTGTAATGGATATCACAATCCTGTTCCTTAGTAAAGTGACTGAGGGTAGCTCTAGAATCTGGTGCTTTACTCTTTAATGGCCTATTGAGGTATGAATTAATTAATTATGAAAGTTAGTATAACATGAGAAAATTCCTAAAATTTAAACAATGCATTTTTAGGGTTAAAATTATGAGTTATATTTTTTGTCAGATCATTAAATATTTCAAAAAGGGAAAGGAAAGGCCTTATATCAGAAAATGTGTTTATGTATATCCTCAGCACTGTTTTTAGTGCTTATAAACCAAGACACAGTGACAGACTGTCTGCCTAGTTGCCTCCCCTTGTAATTCCTTAAACAGAGTTTTCATATGTGATCATCAGATTAAGTTAAGTTAATGTCAGGTATAATGTCAGGCACTATATTGGATACTACTAGACCTGAACATTAATGATGCTTAAAATATCATGTTCTTGTGACTGCTTTTGTCCATGGGCACAGATTTCACAAATGAGCTGTCCAAATTCTCCAACTTATGGCCATCAACACATTATATTATTTTACTGTCATTTGTGTAGCTAATGCTGGGAAGTAAATAGGTAGGCTTTTTTAGGAAAGCAAAATAAGACAAGTCAAATTTCTGAAGACTATTATCTTCTGAGATATATAATCCAGTAGAATTTCACTGATATTTGGAGAAACATATTGCCTATATCTTCTGGATTAATGAGTAAGCCAATAGAAAAACTAGCAAGAAGCATGCAGCAAGCAAAATTAATCACATTCAGCCTTGTATTTCTGTCTGCATTTTTTTTTTTTTTGCTTTTCTTTAGTTCTTAAAGATCTGAGAGGAAATGATTGACATTAAATACAGTAATAATTGAACTTGGTCCACCACAGTCACAAGACAGCAACTAGCTGCCTGGGTTATGGCATAGCTAACCTGTGTGGTAGGTATTTTGGTGTATGTTTACTGTGTACTATGACTTTACTTTTCTCTACTTCAGACAATAAGTTCAACAGCTGTGCTCTTCCTGAAAAACCACCGACACCATTAGAAGAAGAAGATTTAATTCACAATGTCTACACAGCTGGCTCAATCGTATGGGGACGCCTTGCTGGCTTCCCTTGGTGGCCAGCAATTGTAGATGATGACCCTGATACTGAACAGTACTACTGGCTTAATGGTTTCTCTGATATTCCTGTGAGCATCACTGTGCACTAGCACACTTTTACTGCATGGTAACATTTGGTGGCATGATATTCATATCAAATTTCATAACATTCTGTACCGTTGGTTGAGAAATCATTAGGGAAGAAGGGCATAAAGACCTGATAATATTGTGACATGTCTAACCGTTGCTGGGCAACGGGAGGTGGAACAAGTTACCACGAAGACAGACCCTTGATAAATGGTCGGTTGCCAGGCTACACAGCAGTAAGGAAAGCTGTGTTTCTCCATGCCGTGCCGAGTAGAGCTGAAGTGAGTCGAGCCGAGCCAAAGCACGGTGATTGCTATGCAGCAATAAAGAACTCTTGGCAGCATTGCGCAGCAACACCTGTAAACACAGCGATTACTCAACCGGGGAGCAAGGCTCATTTTCCGTTGTCTGGCTGAGGGTTTATAAGAGAACTGCACTGCCTAAGAAGTCAGTTGAATTGTAGAAGTTGCCGAGTCAGTTGCAGTCTAGCATTCGCCGGAGTGAGTTGAAGTCCATTGTTATTGAGTTGTATCGAGTGAATGGCAGTGACTCCAGCAGGAGAAGTAATTGTGATACTGCCGATAGCAGTAATTGTAATTGTGAATTGTGTGAGTGTAAGCGCGAATGTGCAACAAATTCACTTGATCCAAGATGGCATAAAGTTATCTGTTGCGTGACCTACCCAAAACGTGACAATATCATAAGCCTATAACTCCTAAGAAAATTAGAAAAAAATTGGTTATAAATCATTAATTGAATGATTTCTGTCTATATATAGTTGTCAGGCAATATCATATGATAATCCTCAATATGTGTGATGTCATTTTCCTGTTCATGACATCATATATATACACTGGTTTTGTATTAACTGTGTGTTTATTTAAATGGCTGTTTCGATGATATTAATATTTTCAGACTCATTATAACGTTGCATTCTTTGATGAAAAAGAAGTGACACGTGCTTGGCTCACACCTGGTGCAATGAGACCTTTCACAGGCAATGACAACTCCAAAGAATTCAAGAAAGTAAGTTCTCCATATTCCCATAAAAATGATTAACTGTTTAAATCCACAGTTAGTAAAGAGAACTACATCACACACATTGTGTTAGCCAGAAATTTATCAATTCATTATAGAATTTTAATGTCACTGCAATATTAATTCATCCCTGGATATACTATATACGTACAAACATATTATTTCCTTATATTAACACTAATTCTTCATTCATATTGTTTTTTTGCTATGGAATATCTTGAAATATATAATCAGTGATGATCAGCAGGCTGTTCCATCATTAACGGTTAATGGTTCAATGGAAGTTGCCTGAACAGTCATTAATTGTCATCTTCTAAATTAATATCTGCTTGATTTATTCATCTTTAGACTCTGTACTATGCCACAAATATCCCACAAGCACGTTAGTGGAGACTGACATTGAGAGTCTCAACCTAAAATATGACTGAGCGAATTTATCAGGTAGATAGTTTATATTTATGCATACCTGAGTTTATTTATAATCCATATATATCATTTCAGTAGCATGACTAATTCTTGCTTTTGTAACAATTCTCTATGTAACAGTGCCATAAAGTGAATGTGAGTATACAAATGCATGATTAATAGTGATGGTGACTGATGTCAACAGTGTGTGGCTGCGTTAACATAATGTCTGTCCATCACGAATCCACTTTGGCCTTCATTAATCATTAAGAATACAATGTTGTTGCATTGCTTGTTTCTTCCTCTTTCAGTGTTTAGCAATTTTCATTATCTGTTTTACAATTTTATCTTTCATTCTTTTTCTGACAGACAATAGCACATGGGATGGATTATGCTAAAAGACTTCAAGTCGCTAGGTTGCAAGCACAGAAAGCCCTGCTTATGACTACTGCTGAACGTCTGAGGACTTTCGGTTTTCTTGCTCGCTACAAAGGACCAATTGGTTCCATCAAGAAGAAGAAGCAGCAGCAGCAAGATATAAAAAAACATGGCAAGTTGTTATAATCATTCATCCTGTGTTAGCCCCTTCTGTACTGAGTTCTTTTGAATCCTCCAGTATACTGTGACAGCTGTTAGACAGTAGGTGAGGAGTTGGAATAGTGTAGTTGGTACGGCAACAGGCTGGGCGACCGAGGAGTCAGAGTTCAAATCCTGGTAGGATCAAGAATTTCCTCTTCTCCACATCATGCAGACTGGCTCTGGGTTCCATCAAACCTCCTATCCAATGGGTACCCCGGGCTCTTTCTCTGGTGGTAAAGAGGCCAGAGCATGAATCTAACAACTCACCTACAGCTAATGCCGAGGTCAAAAAATATGGGTCTATACATCTACTCCCGCATAAGCCTTTTTGGTGTAGTGCTTAATTAGTTACACATAGGGACAATTTTACGTTTTTGTTAGACAGTATACGTTAGCTACTCTGATGGATGTGAAATGCCACTAAATGAAAATTCAAACAGGTTCATTTGCTGAACAACACATGTGTGTCACATGTTAGTATTATGCTAGCTTCTGGTCATTTAAGTTGAAATATTTTAATTCTATAAAGGTATTTTAAGTAAAAAGAATCAAATACCATGTCTGTAGACTAAACTAAAATGTCTTCCTTTCCTTTTATATAGTCTAGCTACTGTAAAGTCAGAAACAGTTTAGAAAACAAAGAATAGCAGAAATCTTTCACTGATATAATAAAATCTTTCAAAGACATTCAAGCAAACAAGCAAACTTAAACTGGTCTGTAAGATTAAGGATGTATTGTAGAACTCAAAGTTTGTGTTCAAATTGTTTTAATTGTATTTACATTTCTACAGCTGGAAATGAAGGCACATATTCTCAGAACACTAATGAATATGAAAAACTGGATGCATACAGAAACCTTCAAGAAGGTAATTATTACACTGTTATATGTGACTTCTGATAAGAATCATTAGAGAAATTCTGAAGAAGAAAAAGATAAATCCATGGTCATATGTATTAATGTCATGTGCATGTGTGCGTGGGTGTGTTTTTTCTCAGTCGGTACACATGCTGACAGACAACTGATGTATACAGGCAGACAAGTCAGAAGTAACACATTTCTTGGTGAATTTTATGTTTAGACCTTGAGACTAAAACAAAGCATGAGAGTGTGAACAAATATATTTTAGAAAAATGTTTTGACCTAAGAAGTATATAAAGCATCATTAAGTAAACAAAGAAATATGTTTACAAAATACCGTGATATATATATATATATATATATATATATATATATGCAAACGAATTNGCAAAATTGATAAAAAAAACTACTGAATGTTTATCAAAATAAAGTAAAATTATACTAGCATTCACATTGAAAGATCATGTTATAAGTACTCTGTTGAAGTTAGTGTATAAATTGTATGGACAAAGATGGATCCATGATTCTACGGCATAGCGTATATTATGGTAAAAATAAGGTTATAATTCATTGTCATGATTTTTAATTATGTGTTACTTTGTGTTATTGCAGAGGAAGAGAAACAAAAGCCTAAAAGGAAGAGAGTGAAACAATTCAACATTATAAAGCCTTATGTAAAGAAAATAAAGGGACAACCAGCGAATAATGAAGGAAACAATGTATCTGAAGCCACTGATAACATTTCTAAAATTGAAAATAACAATGTTCAAGAAAACAATTCTTCCCACAGACCAAATCAGACTAGTTTCAATAGTTCTCTCTATACTCAGGAACTAAGCAGCCAGGAGAGTGAAAATTTTAATAAGGAACCCTTTACTGATGCTAGAAGCAAATCAATGGAATTTGAATCAACGAATGAAACAAGCCAAAATGCCCCATCACCAACCAAGGCAGAAAATGTGTCCTTACCAAAATGTATACAGCCTAGTACAAATAATGAAAGACAGGAGGCAACAAATGAAATGCAAATACCTCAAGATTATGGGAGTGAGACACAGTTTAGAGTTGCTTCCAAGCAAAGTGAAGATACAATAAATTGTTCACAGGATTTCTTCTTATCTCAGGTTGGACCCATTGAACAGAATATGTTACAGAAAAAGAAAGTAGGTACTTACAGTGGTACCGCAGATGTTCAAGGGTTAAACAAATCGTCCTTATCTGGCCAAGCTAACTGCAGAAATGTGAATGCTCCTTGTGAAAAAAATAAAGCAAGTGAAATCACAGTTGACAGCTGCATGGCTACATTAGGGGAGACAAGTGGAATGGGACAAATAAGAGCAACAAATTCTCCAATTAAAGTTGTAGAAGAGGATACAGCTAACATGTTAGGATCTTGTGGAGATTTTCCTGATGATACAGCTATGACAGAAATTGACATTTCAATACAGTCCATTCTGCAGCATGATATAAGCAACTTAAGCACAAGTATTGCTCCCACAGGCTCACATTCAAACTGTTCTGACAAGGTGCCACTTGTTCCTAACAGTCAGTTTGAAACTCCCTCTACCAAAGAAGGTCAATTAGTTGATCAAAATTGTGATGCAGTTGTACCAGAGCTGAATATTGATGATTTTGATAACAATTCTTACAATTCAGTTGATTTTGAGGTAGAGGAGTAATTTCATTATTATAAAGGGGTTTGAGTATTTAATGCTGTGACTTTAAGTTTTCTGTAAATCCTGTAATGTTGTACTCTAATTTGTGTCCCTAATATTGTACTTTAATTTGTGTTTCATGACATCATTTTCAGTAACTCCTTCAACTAAACTAGTTTAGTTAGACTTTTTTAAACATTACATTTTCATTTGCATTTCATGGTATTACTTTTACTAACTCCTTGAAGCTGATCAGTTTATTCATCAATATAATTAATTGTTCAGTAAACAGTGTATTTTAATTTGTATTTCAAGACTCCATTTTTAGCAATTCCTTGAACTGAATCAGTTCAGTTAGGGCCGAGCGAATGTTCAGTAAACATCATATTTTAATTTGCATACCAGTGTATTATTTTTAGCATTTCCTTGAATCATTTGGGACTAAACGAATGTCTGATAAACATTGCATTTAAATTTGTATTTCAGGGTACTATTCTTAGTAACTCTTTGAAGTAAATCACTTTAGTTAAAACTAGTTAAGGGTTCACAAAATATTGCATTTTAATTAATATTTCAGGATACTCATTTTAGTAACTCTTCGATGTAAATCAGTTTAATTGAGACTAATTAAGAGTTCAGTAAACATATAATAATAATTTGTATTGAGGGTACTGTTTTTAAGAGTTCCTTGAAGTAAGTCAGTTTAGTCAGGACTAATTAAATGTCCAGTAAATAACATATTTTAATTTGCACTTCAAGGTCATGTTTTTTGTCATTCTCTGAAGTGAATCAGTTTTGTTAGGGCTAAGTGAGTGTTCATTAAATATCACATTTCAATTTGCATGTCAGGATATTCTTTTTAGCAATTCCTTGACACGAATCTGTTACGATTAATTGAGTGTCTATTAAATGTTGTATTTTAATTTGTATTTCTGGACACTCATTTCAGCAACTCTGTAAAGTAAATAATTACTTACTTATTAAGTGTTTAGTAAACTCTTGTCTTTAATTTGTATTGCTGGATATTATTTTTAATAATTCCTTGAAGAAACTCAATATAAAGCAGCTGGGTCTAGTTACGTGATCAATGGAATATCCAGATATTATTCTTAACATTTCAGTGTTAGTTTCCATTTCATATGAGTATAAGTCTTCAGAAGTGGGTTCTGTTTGTAATTCATCCAGTGAGAGTTTGGTTATATACCACAAAATTAATACATTTTTATTTGTGTTACAACATAAGAGGTCAGTATTAAATGCTGATTACATTAGTAATTTTTCAGTAATATCTTAAATAATATTTTGTTATTTAATACTCTGTTTTGTATGTTTCTTGTTGAATATAAGCTATGATATCAGTTCTTTAGTGTCTCAAAAATTAAAGGATCCTATAAAAGTTATAGGAAAGCACATGTAGGTTTACAGATGAGTATTAGTTGTTGTTTGCAATGTTCTTCTGCAAAAGTTGTATTTTATAAATGAAGCAGTACACACATTCAAGTAGCATAATTAATTTTGTGTGATATCTCAATAAAGAAAAATAACATATTTTATGGAGTACTTACTTACTTACTCATAGAGCTGAGCCCTTCTGGAGGAGCCGCCAATTCTGCAGCTACTCAAGAATTTCCCAGCATTTTATGGAACCCGAAGGTTCATTACCATGTTCACAAGAGCCCTCCACTGGTCCCTATCCTAAGCCAGATCTATCCAATCCATACCATCCAATCCTATCTCTCTAAGATCCATTTTAACATTGTCCAACCACCTACGCCTTGGTCTTCCCAGTGGTCTCTTTCCTTCTGGCTTCCCCACCAATATCCTATACTCATTCCTCGTCTCCCCCATATTTTAGGGAGTACATAATTTTAATGAATTCATAATAAAGAAGTTAATGTTACAGTAACAATGTGGATTTTTATCTGAGATCTAATTATGAGGCTAGTTATCATATGGGAGAATTTCAGTGATTTATTTAAATTTCTATATGTAAAGGCCTGTAAATCATATGTCATGGACAAATAATAAGTAGCTCTGAAAGGAATCTCAGGTGAATTCATATGAGATTATTTGGGATGAATTGCCGTTGGAGCAGGAATCTCCTCAGGTTTTTCTTTTTCCTGCTAATCATCATGCCACTATTGTTGCATACTCATCTCTTACTATCCCCTTCAGTTGGACCGCGCCACAGCTCAAGCGGTTAGTCGCCGGCTTCCCATCACGGCGGCCCGGGTTCGATCCCGGGTCTGGTCAAGTGGGATTTGTGGTGGACAAAGTGGCGCTGGGGCAGGTTTTCTCCAAGTACTTCGGTTTCCCCTGCCAATCTTCATTCCACCAATTGCTCCACAATCACCCTCACCTATCATCTGGGGCTGGTACAATAGGCCACAAGTGGCCGCAGTACAAGGGACTTAGTCCCACCCCACTAGCAATAAAAAAATCCCCTTCAGTTTGAGATTTTGACTGAGATTGGTCATGGTTTTCCGAAGTCCCTCTGTGCAAATGATGGGCAAAAAAAAAAAAAAAGTAAAGCTATCCCTGTAATAGGCCGTGAAGGCCCATAGGGTTGTGAGACGTTGAGAGTCCCACATTATCCAGACAATCGTCTCAAAGATGGCGGCCAGCCTTACTCACCGGCCGCACTTTACTCCCCCGGAAAATTATTTAATTAATTTCTGGTGCTCATTTCTGTTAGAGGCTGAGTCGGCCCCAGGGCCATAGTGCGGCTGGAAGGATTAGGTCAACCGAAAAAAATCCAATGACTTCATCGGGACTTAAACCCGCGACCTTCCGGCTTGGATGCATAGTGCCTCAACCAACTACGCTACCGCGTGCCCCCGCAAATGATGGGTTAGTACCTTAAAATTAAGCCATGGCTGCTGCCTTCTACATACTTTCCCGTTCATTATTCACTGTCATTTGATGACAAGCTACAAATAATCAATCAAAAAATAAACCATGTGGGTACCAGGTAGATAGGTAACTCAGTAGGTCATAACTACAATACAATACACCTCATTCCACAAATATCAGAGTTCGAACTTGTAATCATCCATCGCATTTGTTACTTTACGATGTTTTCATATGACACAGATGACGAAATAACTAGAGAAACAAAACTTCTCTGAACATTGAAAGGCAGCTGCTGCAAATGTAAGACAGTTTTGGAAAATTTTGCAAGTAGTAAATGTGAGCAGTTGAAACTTCTTTCTTCCTATCTTACATTATGAGCATAAATATTAAACTTTACTTCATACTTTAAATTATAATTATGCTAATCGGCATATTTCATAATACATCAGGACCAGTCTATTTGTGAGGGTATAGTAATCAATTTGCATGTTGTACTGCATTGTTCTGAGCACGAATTTGACCTTTTTAAAAATGCTTTCATGATAATTATGTATCTTGTGACATGTATTTATTTTGTAATATTGATGCTGCATTGTTTTTAATCAGGTTTATACCGAGTGTTCAGACAATTTCAAATGCAGGACTAATTGGCTGTACATGGATGGCGGCGTACCAACGGATTAATCTTTCGAACTTCGTCTAACAGATAGCGCAGAAATTTAGTTCTATTTGCACTCATAACCACACTGCCAAATCTGTGGTACTTGCTTCTGGAACTTCATTTTATTTTTCAATTTTTGGGTATGAAGGGAAGGCTTCTTTAAAAATATCACGATGGATTATATTTTACTACGTACGTCACAAATAAGCTATACAAGTTTCAAGCAGGAAGACTAATCTATACTTATAGTCACAAAGCCCAGTTTATTATTTAAGATGATATTCTCAAAATAACAGGGTTTAAGGGCTTGGATTGTGACCACAAAGCTCGGTGGCCGACAAAAATTAAAAATAAATTGCAAAACTTCTTATTGTATAATCATTAAACAAATTCTACGTGATGATGATGATGATGATTATTATTATTATTATCATCATCATCTGTTGTCACAGGTTTATTTCCTGGTATTCCTTTTCTTGAACCAGTTATGCACCTCACCACTCAGGCTTCAAGCTTCGCACTGTAGGCTCAGGATAGCTCAGTAGGTAAAGAGACAGGTTACAGGGTGGACGACCTGGGTAGAGGTGAAATTATTCTTTCCTCCAAAGCATCCAGGCCGGTTCTGGAGCCAACCCAGTCTCCTATCCAATGGGTACTGGAGGCTCTTTCCTTGGGGGTAAAGCTGCTGGGGCGCGAAGCTGACCACTCACCTCCATCTAGTACCGAGGTCAAGAATGGTCGCGCAATACCTCCACTCCCTCATACGTCTTCATGGCATAGTGCTTAGGTAATCAAACAAAGGGACAACTAACTGTAACTGTGCCTGCAAGTATTCTTTTATTGCTAGTGGGGTGAGACTAAGTCCCTTGTACTGTGGCCACTTCTGGCCTATTGTACCAGCCCCAGATGACAGGTGAGGGCGATTGTGGAGCAATTGGTGGAAGAAAGATTGGCGGGGAAACCCGAAGTACTCGGAGAAACCCTGCCCCAGGGCCACTGTGCCCACCACAAATCCCACTTGACCAGACCCGGGATCGAACCCGGGCCGCCGCAGTGGGAAATCAGTGACTATGAGCTATGTCACGGCCCCCTGCAAGTAATACTTCATGTTATTAATGTGGAAGAGACGCTATGTTCATTCACTCTGAACATTTGCAATTAGAATGTAATCACGACGTTATATGAAATAACTCTTAAGTCGTCAGAGGGCCAGCATGGAAAAAAGAAAAAGCGATATAGACACGCGAATGAAGAAATGGGATTTTTGTGACGTGAAATCTCGAATGGGAGTAGCTGCTTGTCAGAGATGGCTAGTTTATTCATACTCCACTGTCCATCTTAATAGTGAAACAGTTCTCAACCTCCTTGTTGCTCTTATATCATTAATATACAGATTGCTAGAATAAAATAAAAAGTTTCGTGGATCAATTATGACACCTACTGGTCTTGTAATGTTTTACTCTATATGATAAGGCTAGTAGGAATAATTCATTCATTCATTCATCCATCCATCAATGGTTCCACATCCATTTTTGGGCCCTGGTGTCTTCTTCCGTTTCGTTACTTTTTTTTTTCGCAGGCAGTAGGATTCCTTGGATAAGTGATCAACCCGTCGCAAGACCGCTACCTACACACAGGACAAAACATACACAGAATAAACGCATAGACATCTATGCCTTGAGTGGAATTCGAACCCACGATCCCAGCGTTCGAGCGAGAGCAGGCAGTTCACGCCTTATACCGCACGACCACTGTGATATAGAGTAGGAATAATACATCAATATAATATATATTTAGTTATCCATTTTTGTGCCTAATTTCAAGTTACTTCAACTTATCAATAGAACCCGACAATTCATTTATTTTTTGATATGTTTGAAACTGTTTACATGTGAATGTGACACAGAATATGCAGCTATAGACGTATATGTTCTATCTCTTTACAGCATACGACATACCTAGCTCTAATGGTTCGTTAGTTATCAGCTTTAAACATAATGAAAAAAAAAGGCAAACAAAAATAGAAGCTACCCCTGCAACAGGCCGCAGAGGCCCATAGGGTTGTGAGACGTCGAGGCTCCAACATTTTCTAGAAACTCGACTCATAGATGGCGGTAAGGTTGTCAATCTTACACACCGGCCGCTCTTTACCCGCAGGAAGATTCCTCGTACTCACTTCTGTTAGAGGCTGAGCCGACGCCAGGGCCACAGTATGGCTGGAAGGATTAAGTCAATTGAAAAATCCAATGATGTCATCGGGATTCGAACCCGTAACCATCCAGCTTCTAGCATAGTGCCCTCTTTAAACCGAAAGTAGAAAGAACATTTCGTATGACATGGGTACATATTTTTACATTTTAAAACAACCTTAAAAAGCTTCATATTCCTTTCAATATGTATTAGCAAATAAAACTTCAAGACCGCAAAATAACTGGAGCTTAGTATCGTTACCAACTCGGAAATTTGCATGATGACTGTGTTTGTTAAGAACATCACAACGGTGAGATAGTTTCTGAATAAAAAATAATGAATATCTCTCATTATGACAACCAGTCGCCTAAAGACGAGAGTAGAGCTAACTTCCGAAACGTCGGAAAGTCTAATGGTTAGCGTACTACTCTAATATTCCAAAGACTCCTAGTCTCATCCCAATCGTCTCTGCTAATATTATATTAGAAATTAGTATATATCTGTCAATGTAACAACAGTCCTCTCCAGAGTCGTGTATATCAAACTTATCACTCGTAGTAGGCGACGTCCAGCATAAATTAATACTGTACACTGTCACACAAAACTTTGTTTCTACAGATGCAGCCATTTCCGTCATGCATGGCCGGCCTTACACGGTTGATGGTCTTTGCGAATGAAACAGGTGGTGAAATTAACTACATCTGTGGAAATAAAGCTTCTGTGACGGTGTTACAGTATTCGATCATTTACAAGTGCATATACGGGGCACGCGGTAGCATAGTTGGTTGAGGGTCTATGCTACAAGCTGGAAGGTCGCGACTTCGAGTCCGAATGAGGTGGATTT